TCATGAACCTACAGATGATGTAAGACTAGAGCCTTACTGTATACCTGGAAAGTCACTCAGTATTTACCATAAGGCCTATGGGAAACTTGGTAAGCTAAATAACCCTACAAGAGGTCTATGTAGCAAGCATTATTTTTCTCATTACACAGTGGATGAAACTAAGGCTTAAAGGAGCCAAGTTCTTCTTCTAATGTCAGATAGCAAGAAAAGAGGTGAGACCAGTTAGTTGAGATATCAGAAATCTTGCTCCTTTAGAAAGAAAAAGAGGGAAGGAGAGAAGCATTAATGGCTAATATATTTGCCTGCATGTGCAAAGCTGGTGTACTGGCCATCAGAACCAGGACCTTAGACACACCAGACAGAGCTCTACTATTTAACTACACCTTGCTCTCATTAAAGACAAGGCTGTAGATGGATTCTTCTTAGGGCCACCAGCTCACCCTCACACACCCACACACACACACACACACACACACACACACACACACACACACACACACACTCTGAAGGGACTGGCTCCCTGCTTTAGCAGCCATGAAGGCTACAGAAAAGACTCAACATGTGCTTGCCTGACCTTGTCCCTCCCACATCATGGCAAGGAACCAATCAGAAGTTAGCTGGCAGGGCTGTGCTTTATGGCTCTGGGTGTGCTTTTTTTTTTTTTTTTTTTTTTGAGACAGGGTTTCTCTGTATTGTTTTGGAGGTCTGGGTGTGCTTTATGATACAAGTGCACAACAGTGACCTGCAGAGCATAGCAACTGCCCTGGGAGGGCCTATGGGCCATAACAACCATTTAAGATGGGTCATTCAAATCCAAAAGTGCACCAATCCTGAGACTGTTGCAGACCCCCTAGACACTCCCCTTGGTCTACCTTCTCCAAGCATCTGCCCAATAAACAGACAAAGGCCCAAGCTAATGGGGTTAGCTCGTTAAATAGCAATAAAATTCTTTCTTTTGCATCAGAATGGGTCTCTTGATGATTTGGGGGGTTTAGAATTTGGGCACAACAACACAAAAAATGACATGGAAACTAATTCATTATTATGAAAGCTCGGCCTTACCTTAGGCTTGTCTCCTATGTCTGAATCTCTGTTCTTTTATGTACCTTTACTCTGTAATGCCCATCCTGCTTCTTCAGTGTCTGGCTGGTGACTCTGCCTTCCTTCTTCTCAGAGCTCTCTCCAGAACACCTACCTATACCTCCTGCCTAGCTATTGGCCACTCAGCTCTTTATTAAACCTGAAGGGCACACGAACCAGTCAAAGATGGCACTGAGGGGAAGTCAAAAGGGCGTCCTGACTTGTTTACAAAAAAAGACGATTGGTTGCCTAGATGGAAACAGATGAGGTCACTGCATGAACAGCTCGTGTTCACTAGGTAAAGCATAGGGCGCCTAGGTGCATGATACGCTGACCTTTAAAACCATTGGCTAGCTAGTTGTCCATCCTCCCCCCTCCCCAAGGTTTTCTCCCTTAAAAGAAGCTTACTGTGGGACAATAAAGAGTTCCTGCTTGACTAGACTGCCTGCTGCATCTGACTGTCTCTGGGAAAGGGCATGCAGCACACTTACTCTTGCTAGGACCCAGTTCAACCTTCCGTGGTTGAGCTAAAACCCTGCAAAACCAATCACAGTGACACATTTTCACACAGAGTAAAAGAATACCCCAGCTGGGCGGTGGTGGCACACGCCTTTAATCCCAGCACTTGGGAGGCAGAGGCAGGCGTATTTCTGTGAGTTCGAGGCCAGCCTGGTCTATAAAGCGAGACCCAGGACAGCTTCCAAAACAATACAGAGAAACCCTGTCTCGAAAAACAAACAAAAAACAAAAAAACAAAACAAAAAAAAAATAATATTGTAAACACAAGGAACTGGAAACATGGCTCAGTAGTTAAGAGCATTTGCTCCTCTTGCAGAGGACCTGGGTTCAGTTTCCAGCACCTACATGATAAGTCACAACTATCTGTAACTTCGGTTCTAGGGGATCCAGCATCTTCTTCTGACTACCGTAGGCACCAGGAACACACATGGTACATATATCCACATTAAGGCAAAACATTCATATATATAAAATAAATAAATCTTTTTTATTTTGCTTAATTTATTTTAATGTACATTAGTGTTTTTGCGTGAGTGTCAGTTCCCCTGGAAATGGAGTTACAGACAGTTGTTAGCTGCCATATGGGTGCTGGGAATTGAACCCAAAACCTCTGGAAGAGCAGTCAGTGCTCTTAACCCCTGAGCCACATCTCCAGCCCACATAAATAAATCTTTTTAAAAATAAAATTAATCAAGCAATCAATCAAACCAAACTAACAAAGCCTTTGAATTGACACAGACCTATAATCCCAGCATTCTGGAGGCTAAAGCATGAAGATTCAAGGTCTCATAGGGTCAGACAACCTTCCACAAAAAATATATATATGCGTGCGTGTGTGCGTGTGCGTGTGTGTGTGTGTGTGTGTGTGTGTGTGTTGTCTTGGTCATTGTTCCATTGCTGTAAAGAGACACTATGACCAAAGCAACTCTTTTGGGCTTTTTGGTTCTGTTTTGTTTTGTCTGTTTTTGTTTTTGTTTTTGTTTGGTTTTTCGAGACAGGGTTTCTCTGTGGCTTTGGAGGCTGTCCTGGAACTAGCTCTTGTAGACCAGGCTGGCCTCCAACTCACAGAGATCTGCCTGCCTATGCCTCCTGAGTGCTGGGATTAAAGTCGTGTGGCACTACACCCAACAGGACTAAAGCATCTCTCCTGAAAGAAACATTTCTTTGTGGGCTTGCTTACATTTTCAGAGGTTTATTTGATCCATTATCATAATGTTAGTAGGGAGCACAGCTGGACACAGGCAAACATGGTGCTGGAGAAGTAGCTGAGAGTTCTACATTTGGTCCCACAGGCAGCAGGAAGAGATTCTAGACCTGGCATGGGCTTTTGAAACTTCAAAGTCCACCCAGGGACACACTTCCTTCAACACCTACTCCAACAAGGTCACGCCTCCCAGTCCTTCTCAAGTAGTATCACTCCCTAATAACTAAGCATTCAAATATATGAGCCTTTGGAGGCCATTTTTATTCAAACCATCACAATGTGTGTAGGTATATACACGTCATTCTAATTTCAGCTGTACACATCATCAACACAGAAAACTCCACGGCTGAAACTCTACCCAGACCCCTTCATGCCAGAATACAGTGAAAGCCTAGCAGGCTATGTGTGCATCCAAATCCCTTCTCTCCTCGTGGCTCCCATCTCAGGCATGCTCAGTGCCTGCTGCTTTTCATTCAGCTTTATCCCCTCTAACCCTTCAGCTCTCTTGTACACACACGCTATCTGCCTTCTCTGGAGTGTTTGTCATTCCCTCTTCCCTGGGGAAAACCAGAAAAAAGCTGATAAAGTGGATCTGTTTATGGTGAGCTTAGTTGAAAAGGGGTTGAGATGTGCAGCCTTGGCTGTTGGGGCAGAATATGAAGGAGAATTTCGTTAAAATATTTACATGTTTACAGCTGAAGGCAGCACGAGGTTGAAAAAAAGAAAGCCAGGGCTGGAGGGATAGCTCAGCCGTTAAAGGCTAGGCTCACAACCAAAACATAAGAAAAAAAGAAAGCCTGGCAACGAACGGATTCAAGTTTAGACTCCCATGCTGTCGCTTAATAGATACATGTCCTAAAACCTCAGTGAGCTCCATTTAGTCTGTAAGACAAGTGATTGCCAGCGCCAGTCAGCTTGTCCTAAGCCAGCCGTGAGTCCTGTGCTAAGCACTGAGCACACATAAGCCTCGATAGACTCACCTCTGGACAGAACAGGGCCACCTACTCTCTAATTCCACCCCTCCACCCCCAGTCCATTTCTACAGTCTAGTAGGACCACAGCAGGCGCCTCAAGAGAGCTAAGCCCGAGCTCCAACTCCATACCTATTTCTTGATTGGTTTGAGCCTACTGCTGAGGCACCACACCCTTTTCCCTGCTGCACTAGACACAGTGCACCAGGCAATTCTGCTACGAAGCAGGTCAGCAGGCGTCAGGAGGAAGTTCAAGTTTTCCTTGTTCTTCAAAGGACACAAGATGATCCCCACCCTGCCCTCAGATACTGCACTGTTCTAGAGTCCTCAGTCAGGCAGGAAGCACTTGAAATCACCGACGACAGGAAACCTGGCTCCTCCTTGAACACCAGTGTAGGTCCCTGCAAAGCTGCACTAAGAAACTCTCAAACACTCCATGAGAGTGCCCTTGATGCTGTCTGCTGTGAGATCATGATGTCCAAAGAGCACCAGGGGTGGCAGGAATTTGCTTTTCCTGGCTTAATGTATTGCTTCATACTAGGGTTGCAGGAACCTGCCAACTGGCCAGCCATGGTGTGGATACCAGACTTGTCTCCCATGGTCTTCTATGGAAGAAAGTGTCATGGGTCAGGTTCACCCATGTTATCATCACAGACACCCCAATGCCACTTGTCACTTACTCTCCATCCTTCAGGCTTGCTTCTATCCTGCTATACCCATCACCCATACATGTCATATTTTCCTCTTCTTCTTCTTCTTTTTGAGGCAGGATTTCTCTGTATAATAGAGCCCTGACTGTCTTAGAATTCACTTTGTAGCCCAGGCTGGCCTTAAACTCACGGAGATCTGCCTGCCTCTGCCTTTCAAGTGCTGAGATTATAGGCATGTGCCACAGTGCCTGGCATATCTTCTTTTCTTTTTCGATTATTATATTTATATTATCATGTGTGAGGGAGCATACATATGCCGCAGCATGTATAGAGGCTAGAGGACAACTCGCAGGGGTCAGTTCTCTCTTTCCATCACGTCAGACCCTGAGACTGAACTCAGGTTGGCAGGCTTGGAGGCAAGCACGTTCATCTGCTGAGTCATCTCACTGGCCCTAAATATCAGATCTTGTAACCCTGGTCCCTCTTTCCGGAAGCTAAGACACAACTAATTACACAACAGGCTCTCTAACCAAGCGTGACCTTCCCATAAAAAACGTAGTCCATAAACAATCCTGATCATTTCTTTACTCGGCCTTTTATTTTCCACTCCCTGGTACCATCCTCCCCTCTCAGCCAGAGTTATGACTCTCAGATGGATGGCCACAGTGTTGGTAACAGACAGGGTTATTTTATTCACTGAGCCACGAGGCTGTGGTGCAGCTGGCAGGACGAGAGGTGTAATTATGCTGCATCTTAGAGCCACCAGCAATGAATTTCTGTATAAAAGACTAGATTGGCCATGTATTATTTATGTCGGCATCAATTTTCCCAGCTGGTTCTATTTACTGTGCAAATTCTCCTCTGTCTGTTTATGGGTTAGGCCACGGTTCAGTACCTCTGGTTACTCTATACTGAGGAAGAGCCCCACAGGGCACCATGCATGTGAAACAAGTGTCTGGTTCACTGGGAGCAGGTCACAACCTCCCTCCCTGTAAATTATATCCCTGGGACAGCAGCAAACTCATGTTCTCACCTCTCAGGGTGCTGTATACAGGTGTGTGAAACCAGTCGGCAAGCAGGGAAGAACTCTTACTCTCTGGGAGTCCCACTGCAGGACATGAAAATCAACCTTCTTGGGGGAAATCAGGTGCCTCTAGGGTTCAGAGGACTTCCTCTTTCTATATTTTGTTTTGTTTTGTTTTTGTTTTTCGAGACAGGGTTTCTCTGTAGCTTTGGAGGCTGTCCTGGAACTCACTCTGTAGACCAGGCTGGCCTCGAACTCACAGAGATCCGCCTGCCTCTGCCTCCCGAGTGCTGGGATTAAAGGAGTGCGCCACCAACGCCCGGCCCTCTTTCTATATTTTTAAGAGTGTGCATGCATTAAAGAGCTTTACACTTCTGAGGTTGTTTCTATGAGTAACTCAGAGAACCCATCTTGTAGGTGGGAAATCAGAGGCCAAAATAAACGGGGATGGGTGGAACAAAGGCTTCCTGGCTCAATTACTGTGTGAGGGAGAGAGACACACAGGGCCAGGAAGCTATTCATCCAGTCACTGCGGTGTTTGATGTCCCAAGGTAGGTTGAACTCAACCTCCATTGGAAACATACGGTGGACACAAAAGAAGAAACCTTGAGACCACCAGGGACTACAATGGACTTCTAGGTCGTGTCCCCCGCAGCATCCTCGGGCCAGTGGCTCCATGAGATCCCAGAGTGAAGCTGAGAAAACTGAGGCTTGTCGTCCCACAAGCCTGAGACCTGAGGTGTCTGCACTGCCAGGTCCCCATGTGGCAGTGGACAGCGGCTGGCTGGGAAAAAACGCTGTGAGGACCTTGAAGCTGTCCCTTTCCCAATCAACAGCGTCACGTCTGTTTGGCAGGCAATTCTGGCCTCTGCTCCTCAGTCCCCAATGTCCAAATGTCTATCACCTCCTTCAGACCTGTTGGCTGGAAGGACAGACAGAAGAGAGGGGAGATAGAATTAAGTAATCTTAGTGGTCAGCTTTTGTTTCAGAGTTTTGGCATCAAAGAATCCTTCAGTGAGGTAGCAGTGGGCGTGGGAACCACCTTCTCCAGGGCCCAAGATCCCTGGTGTCTCTGGCTTGACTCACCTGGCGGGGAGACTTGGTCAGACACACTGTGCGTTGGCCTCTACCTAATGTTCCAGCCCCTTCGATGACATCCAGGAGAATCCGGGTACTGGGCACAAAGCTCCAGGAGCGTCCTAGAGCAGGTTTGAACCTCCTACCATCCCTGTCCCAGGTCAAGTGGTTGGTTACCTGCAGAAAGGGACATGGATCCATGATGGTAGTGTGGAGGACACCTGTCCCTACCACTTCATTGTACAGACAAGGAATCTGAGGTCTCTGACTTCTCCCAGGAGTTAAAAACGTCCATAGCTGAATCTAGAGCTACAATCCAGGGCTCCCGATCAGCACCCAGCTTTCCACAAAGTCTCAGCGCTTTGGGCCTGACACAAAGCCATGGGGCACCTACTGTATACACTCTTTCCTAAACAGAGTCAGTGCTGGGCTTGGGCCTGCCACAGGTATCTGAGACCAGCGCACTCAACCCTTGGTGTCTGGAGTGTGTCTCTGTGTGGTGAAAAAAGGGAGGTTTGGATAAGGAGTCTCACTTTGGAACTAGTCTTAAGCAACCCAGCCATAGAGACACCCAAGCCACAGCCTCCTGATGACAGTGGCTTCTTCCCTATAGACCACACCAGAGACTGGCACCCAAGTACCCATAAATACCCAGAAGCCCAGAGAGAAAGGCCCAGGACCTTGCACTTGAATAAAAGATCAGGGAAACATTCTTTCACACTGCTTGCAGGTGCACAGGTTAGTATAGCATTTCCTCAAAAGTGGGCGATGACCTATCTAGACATTTAAAATACATGTGGTTGAGTGTGGTGATGCGTGTCTGTAGCCACAGCCCCTTGGGAGGTTGAAGGAGGACTACTACTTCAATCTAGGAATTGGAGGCCAGCCTGAGCAGCCTGGTGAAGACACATCAAAGTAACAGGTAGCCCTGGGCCCATAATTACACCTCTCTAACCCCAGCACTCAGGAGGCAGAAGCAGGTGGACCTCTGTGAGTTAGAGGCCAACTTGGTCTACAAAGGGCTATGTAGAGAGACCCTGTCTCTGAACAAAAAGGGTAGGAAATACAGTGAAGAGAGTTATGCATGAGTGCTCGCTGTTGGGCTGGAGCTATGGCTCAGCAGCTGAGAGCACACACTGCTCTTGCAGAGGACCAACTCCTCCTGTTCCTGCTGAGCTGTTTTCTCTACTGGCACTCTCTCCTTCCTAGAGGGATACAGACAAGCAGGGACTGAGGGACGTTGAGAGAACCCGGCAGCCAGAATCTGCTTTGATATGTTAGGCATCTCAGCCATTTGTCCCAGGTTTGAGACCTAACAATCATAATTTTTTTTTTGCAATTTGTTCTGTTTTGTTTTATTGAGACAGGATCTCACTATGTATCCCAAACTATCCTTGAATTTGAGAATCTCCTGCCTCAGCCTCTTAGTTTGAAAAGCAAAAGCATGTGCCACTATACCTAGTTCTTCACATAGATCCTTTTTAAAAAATATTTTATTCTTCTAATTTCATTTTACACTCCAACCAAAGTTCTTCCTTCTGTTCCCCCCCCTACTGCCCCCCAGCCCACTCTTCACATAGATTCTTTAAGATGGCCATTTTTAAGCAAGACATGGGGACACATGACTGTAATCCCAGTACTCAGCAGCTGAGGCAGGAGGATTCTATGAGTTCAAGGCTGGTCTGAGCTACAAGCTAAAACCCTGTTTAAAATAAACATCCTTCTTGATTTGCCAAAATAATTCTTGGGCGAGATTTGGCCTGTGGTCTGCAGTTTGTGAAACCCTTCCATCCTGCAATGATTTTTCCAATTCCTAATCATGGGGCATTTATTTTTTTTATTTTTATTTTTTATTTTATTTTTTTAAAGATTTTATTTATTATGAATACAACACCCTGCCTCCATGTACATCTACACATCAGAAGAGGGGACCAGATATCTTTATGGATGGTTGTGAGCCACCATGTGGTTGCTGGGAATTGAACTCAGGACCTCTGGAAGAGCAAGCAGTCAGTGCTCTTAACCTCTGAGCCATCTCGTCAGCCCTATTTTTTTTTTTATTTTTATTTTTCGAGACAGGGTTTCTCTGTATTGTTTTGGAGGCTGTCCTGGCACTCGCTCTGTAGACCAGGCTGGCCTCGAACTCACAGAGATCCACCTGCCTCTGCCTCGAGAGTGCTGGGATTAAAGGCATGTGCCACCAACGCCCGGCCAATCATGGAGCCTTTAAATAATTACTGGCTTGCTCTGTAATAAAAGTAGAGAGCTAAGTGTGGGGGTAACCCCTTGTAACTCCAGCACTTGGGAGGGAGAGGCAGAAGGTTCAGGAGTTCAAGATCAGCCTCAGATAATGAATTCAAAGAAAGTGTGGGCAACATGGGACTCTTTTCAAAAGAAAAAAAAAATGCTTTTATCATAAAAGAGGCCTGGGGCAGGGAGGGGCAGGGTGGTGGCACACACCTTTAATCCCAGCATTTGGGAGGCAGAGGCAAGCGGATCTCTGTGAGTTCAAGCCCAGCCTGGTCTACAGAGTGATTTCTAGGACAGGCTCCAAAGCTACACAGAGAAACCCTGTCTCAAACAAACAAACAAACAAACAAACAAACAAAACAACAACAACAACAAAAATGCTAGTGGTTTGCCATCTGTAATTCCAGTCTGGCATCTTACAGAGAAGTGGGAAGCAGGGACAAGGAGAATCAGCCATATACAGACGTGCAGTGGCACAATTAAGGCTCGTCTCAAGGGACTGGAGAGGTGGCTCAGAGGTTAAGAGCACTGACAGCTCTTCCAAAGGTCTTGAGTTCAATTCCCAGCAACCACATGGTGGCTCACAACCGTCTACAATTCAATCTGGTGCCCTCTTCTGGCAGAACACTGTATATGCAATAAATAAATAAATCTTTAAAAAAAAAAACAAGGTGGAGAGAATTGATTCCTAAAAGTTATCTCCTGACATCCACATGTGTGCCAAGGCACACACATGCCTGCCCTCTTCTGAGCATGAACATACATACACAAATAACAATGAAAACATTATAAAAAACACAGAACAAAAACCTGCTGGTGATGGCACATGCCTTTAATCCCAGCAAGAGGAGGCAGAGACAGGTGGATCTCTGAGTTCTAGGCCAGCCTGGTTTACAGAACAAGTTCCAGGACAGCCAAGGCTACACAGAGAAACCCTGTCTTGAAAAACCAAACAAACAGAAGACCCCCAAAACAAGATAATCCCTAGTCCCTATATGTATTCATGGTCCAAGCACCTCTTTAACCTGTGGAAGCTGAGCTCTGAGTTCTGTCCTTTTCCTTAAGGGCTATTATAGTTCCAAGCTGACATTTAAGAGAAACAGAGAGCTAGCTACTACTAGAAATGGTGTTTATAGGAAAAGCCTCCTCACCACCACTGCCACAGCTAGGTCCCGGGCCAGGGTCTTGAGCTCTCGGGCCAGTTGCATCATCAAGGCCAGGCCTGGGGGAGGAGCAAACAGGAGAGGCAGCAGAGGGCTACAGGACAGGGCCGGGAAGTGAGGTCCCCACCCTGTCCCCAAGCTCCCCTTTGCTCCTTACCGTCCCTCTGCTGACCTCCCAGAAGTGGAGCAACCACGGCAGTGACAGAATCCACAATCACAACCTTCACAGTACCGGAAGATGTCACCTATAGGGATGGGAAAGCAGTGATAAACCAGTGACCTCTAGGGGGCGGGACACCTGTGGCAAGCCCCTCTATTAGATGGCGGAGGCCAGTGAGATAATAAAGGCAGGTGACTGTTGTTTGATCCCTGGAGCCCAAGTAAAGATGGAAGGAGAGAACCAACTCCACGGAGTTGGCCCCTCTGAACCCCCCACACAGGGTGGCATGCATGTGCTCACCATTGTGCATGTGTATACATACACACACAATTTAAAAAATCAAGTTTACTTTTCAGAATTTTTAAAAAAAGCAGTCAGTCATAAGCAACCTTTCCTACCCAAATAGGGCTGTACAGGCCTCACTGAAGCACCTCCCCTGACCCATTCATAAGCATAATAGACCCCACTGAGTCAGAGAGGGTTTAAGTCACAGGACACCACAAGTTCTCCATTCAGGAAGCCCCACGCAGACTCTAGTGACAATCTCTTTACACCCAGCCTAATTAGCCCTTTCTCCTCTTCTGAATCCCCTTACTACTGCTCACTTTCACTTCAAATTCCCAAGCTTCATTTGCTGCAGAGTTAGCTCTCCACTAAGGAACCCAGGGCCTGGGTACACTAGGAAAGCATTTTACTTGAGCTGTGTATCCTCAACCCCTTAATCTTCTTCATGTTTCCATCTCCTAGATTTTACCTCCTAAATCGTCCCCTAAAGCAGCCAGGCAGTGGTGGTACTCGCCTTTAATCCCAGTGTTTGGGAGGCAGAGGCAGGTGGATCTCTGAGTTTGAGGCCAGCCTGGTCTATAGAGGGAGTTCCAAGATGGCTATACAGAGAAACCCTGTCTGGAAAAACAAACAACAAATAAAGGCAGTTGTTTCTCTAAGAGCCTGATGTCATATCTCAGACCATAATCTGGTGTCTTTACACACATGTGAACACAGTCCTAGCATCATCTCTGGATCTAAGTTGTCCTCCATGATTCCTTTCTTCTCTCCCTTACTTCTCAGATCCTGATTCTGCTACATGTGATGTTTTCATTGGTCAAGCCTTGGCTATCTGGCATTCCTGCTCTGCCTTTTGTGTGTCTCAATTCCAGTCTGGAACTGTGCGTCAATCTTCCAGCCTCAGAGTCTTAGCAGAAATTTGAGAAGTTAAAACCAACCCTCCTCAGCCCTGTTCAGCTAAATGGTACTGCAAGCCCTCTGCTGCTTTTGCTGAGGACTTGGGTTTGATTCCCAGCACCCACAAGATGGCTCACAACCTTCTGTAACTACGTTCCAGGGGAATTCAATGTCTTCTTCTTGCCTCCAAAGGTACTAGGCAAGCACACGATGCATACACATTCATACACATAGAATATATTTTTAAAACCTAAAAAAAAAGAAAAGAAAAAGAAAAAAAAAGTCAAGTGCCATTCAAAATCTCTTTCTCCCTTTATTATAAATAGTAGTCTGAACATGTTCGAGTACTGGGAAGAAATCTCCTGACATCAACAAGGATGGGCCCAGCCCCCAATTCAAGATCATAAAGAGATGACTTGCTTTTGGCCAACTGTGGCTAGAGGCATTAGATGTATAGACCCTGGATTAGATCACTAAAATTAGCATCACAAAAAAGAAAAAATATATATAGAGAGATTTATTTTCGCGTATGTGCACGTGCGCATATATTCATGACAGGCCACTTGGAGCCAGGAGACAGCTTGCACAAGTTAGTTCTCTCCTTCCACCATGTGGGTCCTGAGGATCGAGCCTGGGTTGTAAGGATTGGCAGCAAGCACCTTTATCCATGAAACTTCCTCACCAGATCCTATCATCACAATTCAAAAAAACAAACCTGGCCAGTGCCAGTGGTGCAGCCTTTAATCCCAACAGAAGCAGGCAGATCTCTGTGAGTTTGAGGCCAGCCTGGACTACAGAGTGAGTTCCAGGACAGCCAGGACTGTTACACAGAGAAAACTTGTCTCAAAAAAAAACCAAACCAAACCAACCAAACAAACAAACAAAACACCTGGGCCAGGTGGTGTCGATTGAGCACTCAGGAGACAGGACAGGGAGATCTCTGTAAATCTCAACCAGTCAGGCTATATAGTGAAACCAGTCCCCACCCCACCTCTCTTACACACATACACACACACACACACACACACACACACACACACAGTTTTCCTAATTGATTTCAGTGAGTAATGCAGACATGAAGACAATATAACCCTGTACTCAAGGAGCTCACTGTTGTACAGGGCTGGTGAGCCTGTAAACAATGTAGCACATGAATTATGAATTAAGCACCAAGGAATTTCACCTGAGGCTCCGGCAAGCAGGGGTGGGGGGATGGGGTGGCAAACACAGCTGGAGCTGTAACACTGGACACATGCAATCCAAGCAGAGTCTGTAGGACGCCTGCCCCGATACAGACAACACCTGGCCAGATGGGTAAAGCAGAAACAGGCAGGTGAGCATGCTTACCTGCTGGGCCATGGCGCCCCGAAGGTCCTGCAGCATATCCAGCATCTGGAAGATGTCAAATGCACGCGCCACCTGTATCCTTTGGAGAGCACCTGCCTGAGGGGCGGGAAAAGAGAAGCAGGGACTTGGAAAGGGGATCCCAGTAAATGTAACCACAAAGCTGCAAAAGCAAAGAGGCACTCAGACACAGTGCTGACATCAGAATGGCAATGGGTTCTGCCTAATGGGCCAGATCTCAGTGGTGGCCACCTGGGTGCTGAGCTGTAAGACATTCAGGATTCAGCAGGCAGGACAGATATGATTGATTAGTGATGACTGCCCTGGCAAGAAATGGGCTGGAAACACATATGCAGGCCTTTGCCGGCTCTGATTTATGGTACTCAAGGACTTGGAAGTTCCTGGAGAATCAGTGTGGGTGGCATCCAAGCTAGGATGATGACATTAACATGAGCAGCTCTAGGAATGCAGAGGACTCTCCAGTTTCAAAGCAAGAAATGATGATTCTCACAGATGGTGTATATCCTTACAACGTAGTCATGAAATCTTCCAGCACTGGGATTTTAAAGGAGCCCAGCCATCTTGCCCCCTACCTGTTTCTCCTCATCTTGGGTTCTAGCCTGTAGTAGCTGGAGGAGGCGGGATGCTGTCATTCCTCCACTGGAATCAACATACAGTACATTCTGCTGCAGGCTGTAGGCCACATTTGCAGCCACACAGAGACACACCTTCAGGGACAAGATAGGGCATTGAGTAAACTTAAGCCCTTGGAGAAGAGGGAGGACTACCAGCCAGCTTTCCCACTGCATCCTGCCCAGATTCAAACAACATACACTGGCCAAGGCCACGCTCATTCTCAGCCCCTTTCTGGTCTGTTCTTACCTTGCAACCCACAGGGACACCTACAAGAACTCTCTAAGGAATCCAGGACAATGCACCCACCTCTCCCAACCCTCCCCTCCATTGGCCCCAAGGGTACCTGGGTTTTTCCGCTACCTGGGCCTCCTACAATTTCAGTCACCTCCCCAGTATAGAGGCCAGCATCAAGAAGTTTGTCCAGGCTGATGATAGGAAGGGGATGGGAAAAGAAAGGAGAGAAGACGCTGTATTAAATCTGCAGATAAATTTGGAAAGTAAACTGGGCATGGTGACAGAAGCCTTCAATTCCAACCTCAGGGAGGCAAAGGCAGGCCTCTGTGAGGTCAATGGCAACATGAGACCCCCGACTTAAAAAAAAAAAAATGTGTGTGTGTGTGTGTGTATGGTAGAGTAGCAAAGCCCTGAGTTCAATCTCTAGTACTGGTGGTGGGTTAGGAAGGAAGTCGGGGGAACGCTAACATTCACTAATGTAGAATCTTGTAATCCACGAACACGGAAAGTCTCTCCATTTATTTGGGTCACCTTTGATCTTCCTCATCAGCATTTTCATTTTCAGCATACAAATTATACACAGGCTTTGTCAGACTTAGACCTATGTGTTTCATTTCCTTAGATGTGATGGCAAATGGCATTGGGTATTTAATTTCAGTTTTCACATGTTCATCATATTCATTGTGAATTCATAGAAACGCAATTGATTTTTATGTGTTGATCTTGTATTCTCAGACCTTGCTAAACTCGATTATTAGTTCTAGGAGTTTGTAATTATTTTTTATTTGCTTGTTTTTGTCTGCCTCCCTCATCTGGTAGGAGCATCCCAGGGGCAAAGACTGGGTCTGTCATGTCTCCAGTATTAGCACAGAGCCCAAAACCCTGAAGGCACATGGTAAATGTTACTGAAGAAATGACAAGAACAGTGACTTGAGGCCGGGCGTTGGTGGCGCACGCCTTTAATCCCAGCACTTGGGAGGCAGAGGCAGGCGGATCTTTGTGAGTTCGAGGCCAGCCTGGTCTACAAGAGCTAGTTCCAGGACAGCCTCCAAAGCCACAGAGAAACCCTGTCTCGAAAAACCAAAAAAAAAAAAAAAAAAAAAAAAAAGAACAGTGACTTGATTGTCAAAACTCTGGCTGTGGAAGCCTTGAGATGAACCTCAAAACATGGCCACTTCCTAAGCCCAGTTCTGCCCCGAACCACCATGAAACAAGTTACTACTCTCCATGCGCTGCCCAGGATGGGGGCTGAAGTTTCTGTGTGGCAGCCTGGACCAATGCCTGACTGTCACGCACCTTCCTCCCTAACTCGGCAATAACAGTTGAAAACTGCAGGCCTCGGAAGAGGTTCTTGATGACCAACCATGACCTATCAGCGCATGACAAGCAGCAACCAGTCACTACTCCACCTGTTCTTTTTTTTTTTTTTTAAGATTTATTTATTTATTATGAATACAGCATCCTGCCTCTATGTATGTCTGCACACCAGGAGAGGGCACCAGATCTCATTATGGATGGTTGTGAGCCACCATGTGGTTGCTGGGAATTGAACTCAGGACCTCTGAAAGAGCAGTCAGTGCTCTTAACCTCCGAGCCACCTCTCCAGCTCCCTACTCCACCTGTTCTAACTCCAGGGACCACAGGTTCCTGTCAGTCAAAATCTAGTCCTTACTCCAGCTCTGTGGCTACTGTGCACACCTGGGTGTGTTTAATAAGCCTCTACTTAATAGGTCGCCAGCCTCTGCGACTGAATCCCATTCTTCCCAAGACACCAGAAGCCCAGGTCCATTTCAGCAGTTCCTTTCGGTGTGTTCTACCGGGTGGACCCCAGATCAACAACATCAGCAACACAGCCAGAAACTCTAGAGTTAGATCCTGCTTCTGAACAGAGTTCAAGAACTCCATCCAGGTTGGCCTGGCATGATGGCTCAGTCAACAAAAGTGCTTGCCTTCCAAGCATGAGGACCTTAGTTTGAGCCAAAGAACCTACTAAACAACAACAACAAAAAAAAAACCAAAACAAAACTGGGGACTGGAGAGATGGCTCAGCAGTTAAGAGCACTGACTGCTCTTCCAGAGGTATAGGGTTTAATTCCTAGCAACCACATGGCAGCTCACAACTGTCTGTAACTCCAAGATCTGACACCCTCACACAGACATGCATGCAGGCAAAAAACACCAATGCACACAAAATAGAAATAAATTAAAAAGAATCTGTGTGAGGGGCCTATGGAGACCAGAGGCGCCAGATGCCCTGGGTGGCCGTGAGCCAACTGCTCAGCCACCTCGCCAGCCCCTCACCTGCATGAGGTTCTTCCAAATCCACCTCCTAGACAACTTCCCCCCCATGTTTCTATCCCTGACTCCCCCCACTGCCTCTGGAGTGGGGCACCCTACCTTACCATTACGTCCCCAGTGACCTCCGTGCATATCGATATATGTGGAGGGACTCCAGTCAGGACCGCCTAAAATGCAGGCTTTCTCCCCACCTTTCCCACTTAACGTCCCCTCGGTTACTCTCCAGTCATTCCGACAGCTTACCTTATGTTTCTTGAAGACCTCATTCCAGCAGAGATGAACGGACAAAAGCTCTGGCTTGGAAGGCATAACCAATCTCCCCCATCAACAGCATTTCCCACAGTGTGCCCATGCTCTACCGCCCTGCCCTCAGCATTCCGAGACCGACAACAAAGGGCCCTGATAAATGGTTTAATAAGATAGTAACTAGGGGGAGGGTTGGGGGGAGGGCACGGGAGGAGGGGAGGGAATGGGAGAGGGACCTGGAATTGACTTGTGAAGCAACCGCGTTTCTTATCTAAATTTAAACTGGAAAATAAAAAAAAAAAAGGAAAAAAAAAGATAGTAACTAAACAGTTAATTACGCATTTCTCTAACTTTGACTTACTTCCAAAGTTTCAAGTTACATCAACGATGTAGGCACAGCACACTGTAGGGAAGTCTAAAAACCTAGCAAATCACCTTTGACTCTTCATACCTATACCCTGTCTGAAAGAAGTGTCACATCTCTCCTTCAACATGTCTTCCGCTGTCACAAACCTTGGATCAGAATCACATAGCTCTTACCAACATCACCAGATCATCCCTGATGAGCGTCTTCTGGCCAGCCCATCCATCCTGCACATCTCTGCCCTTGGCCTACAAATGCTTTCACAGTGGCCTCTCACTGTGAAAACAGTCCAGCCAGAATTAAGTTCTTAGACATGACCTCTAGTGCCCCCAATTTACCTACCATTTAGTAGCTGCAGGGTCTTGAGCTGGTGTCTGAACCTGAGTCCCTGTTCCTTCACATACATACACATCGATGATTTCAAGGGCAGTGAACTCTCATTAGGGGTTATGAAGAAAAAATGAAATGCGTGCCATGAAATGCTGAGCACAGTGGCAGAGTCAAGGTGAGCACTGAGGGCAAGCTCCGTGGTTGGTCTGCCAATGCCAAGGCTCCCTGTGGCACTCTCAGCACCCACCCCTACCCATGATGACTACAGCTGCAATCCTGCCAGTGAACCTTCTCACTGTGGATGCTGGTTGTATAGGTTCCCTGGGCTCCAAAGCCAGTGTGTCTCCTTGCCACATTCACAAGTCTCTTATATACAGTAACGGCCATATTTAAGAGTGGGAGCCTTGCCTCACTCGTATAGATAGCATCTGCATGTGGCTGGCACCCAGTAGGCACTCAGCCAGTGTTTGATGGGTTACAAACACAGACCCCCCCCCCCACCAGTGAAGGCAAGACCAGACTTCGCAGACCTTGCCAAGAGAATGTGTTGTGGATACAGCAAGGGCCAGACCAATCCAAAGACCTTTGTGATGGCAGTGTTAGTCATCAAACTCCGCACAAACAGGCCAGGAGAGAGGTCAGGCTCACTTGGCCAGAAAATGCCAACTGTCTTCCAATTCTTTCCCAACCCAAACAACAGGGCACAATGTAATGCTCTTTTCAGTGAGTGTACACGTTCCCGGCTGCTGCCTCCTACGGCATAGGCATCAGGCTCTGGGTTATACATCCCCGGCTCACCTCTGCTGGCCCCTCCTCTTAGGCTAACCACAAAGGAGGTCAACAATCCCTAACATCTAGAGTCTATGCAGTGGTTCTCCGTCTGTGGGTCCTTTCATGGGGGTCACATACCAGATATTCACATTACAATTCATAACAATAGCAAACTTACAGTTATGAAGTAGCAACAAAAACAATGTTATGGTTGGGGGTCACCACAACATGAGGAATTAAAGGATCACAGCATTAGGACAGTCAAGAACCACTGCCCTAGGGCTGGAGAGATGGCTTAGCGGTTAAGAGCACTGACTATTCTTCCAGAGGCCTTGAGTTCAATTCCCAGCAACCACATGGTGGCTCACAACCATCTTGAATGAGATCTGGTGCCCTCTGCTGGCATGCAGGCAGAAGACTGTATACACAATAAATAAATAAATAAATAAAATATTAAAAAAAAAAGAACCACTGCCCTAAGGTCAGACTTTAGGTACAGACTCCCAGGAAATCTCAATCCTGTACTGTTCTCACTTGCCTTATCCTGAAGTATCAGGCACTCTACTGAAATATGGGATATTAGGGGGGCGGGAGGGAGAACTGAGGTTGGAATGTAAAATGAAACTTAAATTATAAAAAATGGGGCATTAGTGACATCTTGTGTTATAGGAAAGTGGCTCTTCACTGGGAAATGCTGGCTCCCAGGTGATACTGAGTCATATCTGGAGACATTGTTGATTGTTACAACTCAGGGCAGGAGAAATGATCCTGGTATCTGGTGGGTAGAGCCCAGGGATGCTGCTAAACGTCTCTCAATGCACAGGATATCGCTACCCCAGCAAACAATTACTTGCCCCTTAAGTATCTAAAGTAGTGCTGAGCCTAAGAATCCCTGTAGTTCTACTCTAAGGGGAAAACAAAACAAAACCTCAGGAGTCCAGGTGCCTCTAGGTTCTCTGAAAGCACCAGTCCTCCTTCGTAGTCTCAGCATGGGAAGCTCGGCTTTCACGTTCTTGCCCAGGTAAACATACAAACCTTCCAATGCCGGTGGACAGGATGGCAGTGGAAGTCTTCAGTTCTTCATATAGGTCTGCTCCATTTAAAGGGAAAGCCGAGAACTGCGCCAGCAATACCCTCCTCAGGGCAACCAGGGCCTGCCAAAAGGATGGACACTCGGTCTCCAGAGCCCCCAGACTGCCAGTGACCAGCTTGCCCCGCAGTGCAATACAAGTCTAGCGCCCCTTAGCAACTTCCGGGAACTCTAATCCTGCAGTTTGGGGACCTGCTCTAGAAGATACGTTGGGATGGAGTTTGCACATCGTAAGCTCACCTTGTAGGACAAGCCACACTTCTGGGCTATCTCCTCCAGGTTAGCAGCTGCCAGGTCTGCCACTGGAAAGAGACCGAGCGCAACCGATTAGCAACAGGAATGTCTTAGCTTTGCCACGCTTGCCTTTTCCTCGGTTGGGAAATGGCGTTATGGTCTTAGTCTACTCCCCATCTCAAGCACGCGGGTCCTGATGCAGGACCCGGCGAGGAGCCGAGCACACAGTAGAGTCCTCTGTCTGTCTTGGTTCCTGAGAACCCAGTCTCCCCGGGAGGTCAAAGTGTGGCCTCCGGTTAGAGTGAAACGCCCCGCACGTGTGCCAAGACCATGGCGCCGACCCCTGCGGTCGTGCCCATGTTGTGTACTACGAGCCCACTAGGTCACCTGTCTTGATCCTTTGGCCCTTCAGAAGCTGAACGATCTCCTCGGTGAGGCCGGGGCACAGCCCTACCCTAAGCACGCCCATGTTCCCAGCAATTCCGGGGCACCCCGGGGGCTGTCACGTGGGCACCCGCCGAGACCTCCACTCCGGCGTCCCTCGGTTCCACTGCTGGGAAAAGGGTTCTGGTGCGTCTGCGAGGGAGGGGGCGGGAAGAGGATGTAGCTCTGGAAACAGTCCTTCCCAAACTCGAAGGACTCCAACGCCCTGGGTCCGCCCCTCCTGGTGGACGTTTCCGGGTTTCGAAACTGGAGCGGTTTTTGTGGTCCAGGCCTGCAGCGCCATCTGCCGACCAAGTGGGCAAACGCAGCGGCCTTGAGACTCGCGCCAACCACCTGCCAGTCTCAGCTCCTCTCCTCTCTTTCTCTTTCTCTTTCTCTTTCTCTTTCTCTTTCTCTTCCTCTTTCTCTTCCTCTTCCTCTTTCTCTTCCTCTTCCTCCTCCTCCTTCTCTCTCTCTCTCTCTCTCTCTCTCTCTCCCTCCCCCCTCTCTCTCCCTCCCTCCCTTTTCTTCTCCCTCTCTCCCCTCTGCCACCTCCCCCATGAGTCCCTTGTACACTAGCCTCCATTCCCAACGCTAGGGACATTCTCACCCTACTTACTGAGTGAAGCATATCTGCCTTCTAGTAGCATTCATGTTAGGGAAACAGACAATAAGAATCAGTTCACATCATTACAGATTGTATGATCCATCCAAGTTCACAGAGAGCACCTGCTCCCCAGCATTTTCCAAAAAAAAATCGTTGTAAGTTTTATCTTATGTATATAGGTGTTTTGCCTGCATAGATGTCTGTGCACCCCTTACATGACTGGTGTCCAAGGAGGCCAGCAGAGGGGGTCAGATTCCCTCGGACTTGAGTTACAGATGGTTGTAAGCCACCTTGTAGGTGCTGTTATGAACCCTGTCCTCTAGAACAACCAGTGCTCCTAACTGATAAACCACTTCTCTAGCCCCGTATTTTCTGAAGGTCTTTATTTTTCAAGACATGATTTCTCTGTGCACCCGTGGCTGTCTTGGAACTCAGTCTATAGACCAGGCTGGCAGCCTCCTGAGTGTTGGAAATAAGGATGTACACCATCACCACCAGGCATTTTCCAAAGATTTTAATGGGAGTAAAATGCTTGAGTATTTAGAACATATAAAACATGTTTTACTATTTTGAAATGTTCCACATCCAGTGGAAGAAATAAGCAGTTTCACACATCTATGAGCAAAGTTCTATTTCTTTGTATTCTGTAGTTGAATTGGGGCTCAGTAAGACATTTATTCTCTGAGTTACACAGCTAGTAAGCACAGGATTGAATCTCAAGTTCACATCCAACTGCAAAGCCAGTGTTACTGAACTTGCTCTCTCCCCTCCCCCTAAGATGTGGGCTCGCTTCCTACCTTGGGCTCTCTCCATAACAGAGAAGTCTGACCCTTTTTTTAAATATATAAATATTTCCCCATATTCATCATTGTCTCTCCATTTTCCAGGGTATTTGGAATTCTAGCTCTAAAGCCAGCTTCAGAAAGCATTCACTGTGCCTGTGCTACCGGCCACAGTGGGATTTCCTGCTTAGATGTCAGGACGGAAAGCCTTAGCATCAATAAGCAAAGTCGTCCTCTTTAAAGTTTCTGTGGCTCAGCCAGGTGGTGTTTCTCTGTCACTAGCCTGCTCCTCCTTCCAGGACAGCTCTAAAGGCCACAGGTATGAAGGCTTTTGAAGTCCGCAGACGATAGAGCAGCTGTGGCCACAAATGTGCTGGAAGGGGTTGTGTGTGCTGGAAGGGGCCATGAAGTTTGTTTTCTTAGCTCTTCCCCACCGCTCACACAGTCTTTTGGTCTGTCCAGCTGCACAGCAAACCTCACATCAAGGGGAGGCTGGCCCCTAATTGTTACACTCTGGGACGATTGTGAAGTCAGCTCATTGGACACCCATCCCACCCAAACCAAGGGTGGGACCTTTGCCTCAGTTTCTCTCTGCTTCCTGCCAGTTGGTTGTCTTGCACGGTGGTGACGGCTCTGATCCCACCCACACCACATGGCAACAGAGGTGTTCTATAAAGTGGGGGACGGGGAGGACGCTGTACCGAAGAAGAAGGAAAAGCTCAACATTATAAATGTGGTTGACCAACTGCCGAAGCCCTGTCCAAACCCTAAGTTTATGAACCGGCCCATGGCTACCAAAGGCCTGCCGCTCTCCTCAAGACGCAGCTTGGTCAACTACCTAGAAGAAGACGCCACCAATGCCATGTAAGACACAGTTCTGGGTACTCCTTTCAAAGACTGGGGAAGCTTTGTAGCCCACCCTGGGGTCCCTCAGGGAAGAACAAGAAGCAGGTTCCCCATGCATCCCCTGTGCCCCACGTCAGTTCTGAGCACATGCGTGTTGCCCCCTCTAGGACATCTTTCTGGATTGGTTAGTTAGGGATCTCCTTGTTCAGCTAGGTGCTCACCACCATCGCTCGGCCCCATCCCAGGCTTCTCCCCTTCAATTCTCCCACTGGATAGTCCTTGCCCCCCATCTGCCTGAGATCCACTTGCCCCCTTGTTCATGACACTAAATTCATGCCTCTCCGTGAGAAATAGAACCCGGGGTTAAGTTGGGAATGCAAAGCTGGAAAGCATAGTCCCTGCCTTCAAAGAACACCAGGCCTAGCGTGAGTGGTGTTGGTTGTGGGGGACATCAGGCAGTAAAGAGGGTGGTGGTACAGCCCAGCCTGATAAATGCTGTCACAGGACACCTTGAGAAACCAGAGGGGATTTCAGAGAGCTTGGTATAGCTTGAGACAAGGTGCAGGGAAGGGAGACCTCTTAGAGAAGGTGACATTTAAGGAAGATCTCCAGGGAAATGGCTTTCAAGGTGATGAGTGAGTAAATAGTACACAGTTTCAATCGTAGTGACCCATGAATGGGCCCTGGTCTTAGTTTAATGCTATGCTGTCACTGTCTCAAGCCACCACATGGGTGCTGGGAATTGAACTCAGGTCCCCTACAAGAGTAACCAGTGCTCTTAACCACTGAGCCATCTCTCTAGCCCCAGTCTTGAAATCCTTCATAATTAAAAAAAAAGTCCCGCCGGGCGTTGGTGGCGCACGCCTTTAATCCTAGCACTCGGGAGGCAGAGGCAGGCGGATCTCTGTGAGTTCGAGACCAGCCTGAACTACCAAGTGAGTTCCAGGACAGCCTCCAAAGCCACAGAGAAACCCTGTCTCGAAAAACCAAAAAAAAAAAAAAAAATCCCATACTTTAGTTTTCACTGGGATCCACAAACTGTGCTGGTTTAGATTAGAGAGAGGTATGTATTCATTCTAGGTCACCATTAGCTAGTGTGACCTGGCTAAAATGACCATTGTTTGTAGGAAACTTCATGATTTACTGGGGGGGGGGGGATCTCAGGGAAGGAGTCCTGAGTTCAAATCCCAGTTCTACTGCTCAGATAGCTGGTCTCAGCCAAGTTCACTGGCTAACACCCATCCAGCAGGCCTGCTATGGAAGTCAGGAAAGAGGTGTCTACAGCAAGCAGTCCAGGATCCAGTAGCCTTCTAGGACCCTTTAGCACCAGCGTTTCCAGTAGGGAACCCTGTTTTGTTGTTGTTTTTGTTTTTGTTTTGTTTTTTTTGAGACAGTGTTTCTCTGTGTAGCCATGGCTGTCCTGGAACTCACTCTGTAGACCAGGCTGGCCTCAAATTCATGAGACCCATCTATCTGCCTCTGCCTTGCAAGTGCTGGGTTTAAAGGTATGTGCCCCCACTACCTGGATCCAGTAGGTGACTGAGATACAGATCCTTAGGACAGTCTGAATAAATGATGTCAGCATCCTTACATGTCAGTCTACAAACACAGGACTTAAAGAACATCTACTCCAAATGTCCTTCAAGGACTAGTGTTGGGGTTAGGGCTGGATATTCTGGACCCATCCAGATTTCTCAGGAGGTTGGTGGGTTAGAGCCCAGGGAGGGAGCTTCATATGGCCCAAAAGCAAACAGCAAGTGGGAACCTGGAGCAGACTAATTTAGATTGGCTCCTCTTTGTAGACCAGGAAATCTTAGCTGGTAGAAACCTGAATGATAATAATGATTAGACAGAGAATCAGAAGTCCCGGAGCCTATCACAGGGGAAGGGGCAGTCTGTGATGTTTAGTTTGAGTTATGTGTATGTATGAATCAAAGTTGCTGTTTTTAAGAATTTGAAAGCTATTCTTTTTGTACTGGTGCAGTTCATCAGCAAGACAGAGCAAGTCATTGTTTTCTTTCTAATAGCAAAGAGTAGCAACAATACACATATCCACATAGGGACTGGAGAGATGACTCAGCACTAAAGTGCATTGGATGGTCTTCTAGAGGTCCAGGGTTTGCTTCCCAGCATCCACATGAAGTCACAACTATCTGTAACTGTAGTTCCAGGGAACCCAATGCCCTTGTTTGGTCTTTGCATGCATGTGGTATACATTCATAACATACATGTAGGTGAAACATCAATACACATAAAATAAGTTAAAAGCAGCAAATATTCATGTCACAAAAAAAACATAATATGGACAAAATGGCTGAAGCCTCTGCTGCATGTATCAGCACAGACAGATCAAAACACAACACAGAGCAAAACCCAAGTTTTAGATAGGTATGTGCTGGAGGTTGCCTGTTATTTATACAGTGTCTAAAGACATACAAATAAGTCATGCCTTGGGTTAATATACATGTGCAACAAGCTTAAGACAACACTTAATGAAAAACAAATAAACAAACACTTACTTTGTTGGCTGTGTCTATTGGAGGATATGTAGTGTAAGAGAAGCATCCAGGGGTCTTAGTAATGCCAATGTCTTAATTTCTGAAGCTGGATGACAGTAAATAAAAGTGTAATGTGTTACTCTTGGTGTGTGTCTAAAATACCCCCTAATTTAAAAAGAAACCATAAGAATGGGGGATGTCTTAGTTATTATTTTATTGCTGTGAGGAGACAGACACCATGCCCAAGACAGCTTACAGAAGAAAGCATTTAACTGTGGGCTCGCTTACAGTTAGAGGTCTAGGCCAGTATCATCATGGCGGGAAGCATGGCGGCAGGCGGGTGTGGTGCTGGGGCACTAGCTAAGAGCTTACATCTGATCCTCAAATGGCAGGCAGGGTGGGGGCTGGTGCCCCGTCCTTTTTTTTTTTAAGATTTACCTATTTTTATTTTATGCCCATTGTTGTTTTGCCTACATGCATGTCTGTGAAGGTGTCAGATCCCCTGGAATTGAAGTTACAGACAGTTGTGAGCTGCCATGTAAGTGCTGGGACTTGAATCCAGGTCCTCTAAAAGAGCCGCCAATGCTCTTAAGTACTGAGCCATCTCTCCAGCCCTGGTGCCAGCTTTTGAAATGTCAAACCCCACCTACAGTGACATACTTCCTTCAACAAGGCCACACCTCCTAATCCTTTCAAAACAGTTCCACTAACTGGTGACTAAGCTTTCAAACATACAAGCCTATGGGGCCATTCTCTTCAAAACACCACAGGGAACAAGGGTTTTTTTTTTTGTTTGTTTGTTTCGTTTTGCTGTGTTTTCATTCTTTTTTGAGTCAAGGGTCTTACCATATAGGTCAGACTGGTTTAGGACTTCTGATCTTCCCACCTCAGCCTCCTGAGTGTTAGGATTACAAGTGTGTTTGTGCTACAACACAACAAGAACATTTCTCCAATATACATATTACACATAATATAGACTATTAGTTTTATATGTAGCGTGTTCCAAGCTGCTCCACAGTTGGGGATGCTGGTAGAGTGAGCCCCCAGGTCATGTGTTCAGGGCTCCTCAAGCTGGATGGGTTGGGGTGGCCTCCTTCATCTGATGTCCATATCCTTCCTACTCCAGGAAGCAGATGCCAGTGGAAGATTCAGAATACAGCTCAGATGACACTAGTATGTCCCCCATATCATCCACTCTGCTGAATCCCGTCAAACTGGCCGTGACTCAGCCCAACAGCAGCTTCTTTGCAGGGATGCTGGAGGGTGAGCTAAACAAACTCAGTTTATCAACGCTGGCCAAGAACACAGAAAAAGAGAATCTGGCCATCTGCCCTCTCTCACCTAAGGGCCAGATGGCCCCCAGGGGCCTGTTGGACCTTGACAACCCTGCACTGGACACGGACACCTCTTCAACACGCTCAGAATCTTCTGTGGTCATGGATGTGCCAGAGGCCCCCTTCATCTGTGAACACACTGTTGGTGATTCCACGGCTGTGGTATGCTTTTCTCTTGGGGAAGGCTTACGGCGTGTGTGGGGGGCATGGGGAGTGTGAAGGTCTTGCCACTGCATTTGGACTTCAATTCATGGTTACGGAAGAAAGGAGGGCAGGGGTGTCTATGGAACTTTCGTAGAAGATGAAATGGGCTCACTGCTTGCCTGCTCAATACGGAGGAGATTCAGATAGTTTCTCAGGAATTCAGAGAGAAAGGTTACTTCCAGTTGAGCCAAATGGCTGGAACTGGGAACTGTAGGAGTATCAGCCTCATTGTGCCTCTGCTTCTAACCAAGTGCAGCTGACAGTCATGCTCCTTCAGGCCACTTCGCCAGTATTTAAACTACCAGGCTCTGTCCCTACAGGGTTTGAAGGAGGCCTGATAGTGTGCGTTGTTCAAATAGTTCCAGGCAATGGAAACTATGGTTAAGTCCCTGGTGTTGAGTCAGACTTCTAGTCTGTCATTTAGTTGCTGTGTGGCACTCTGCAGGTGGAAAAGATGGTTTCCATAGGTAGCTTTCAGCCGACCTGACTGTTTAGGACTATGGGCCGAGGAGCACCCTATGGTGGATCGGTGGGTAGAGCTCCTCCCTTTGGCAGGGCTGTTGGGCATGTGGTTGCACTTTCCTCCAGACCTGGACCAGGAATGGAAGTGCCACTGTGATCTATCTATCCCCAAGGGCCAGGCCAGATCTGAGGAAGCCTGGGTTCTCTTTTTCCCCTAGATTTCCTGGACTTATGCTGTGGGCAAGCAGCAGGTCAGTTTCTACCAGGTCCTGCTGCAGGAGGCAACCAAGCAGGGTGACAAGGAGATGCCCAAGGTCAAGAACCGCCCCTGGATCTTCAACAAGATCCTGGGCACCACTGTCAAGCTGATGGAGCTGAAGCCAAACACGAGTTACTGCCTTACTGTCCGTGCAGCCAACACAGCGGGGGTAGGAAAGTGGTGCAAGCCCTATAAAGTAAGTGCTGGTAGCAGAAGGGCCCGGGGCTAGGGAGGGCAATTCGATCCAGAGAACTAAGGCTCCGAAGGACAGAACCATTGGCTCAGATAGGTGAGAAACTACAAGCAGAAGACCAAACAGGAGGCTGGGACAACCCCCCCCCCCCCCCACTCCCAGTCTCATGTCCTTGCTTGCTTATACCTGGATCCACAAACAGTAATTCCAGACTGCCATCTTCTGGGAGGTTTAGAGGTTAAGCTGTTCAGGGCCCATTAGAAATGCAAACTGAGCCGGGCGTTGGTGGCGCACGCCTTTAATCCCAGCACTGGGGAGGCAGAGGCAGGAGGATCTCTGTGAGTTCGAGGCCAGCCTGGTCTACAAGAGCTAGTTCCAGGACAGCCTCCAAAGCCACAGAGAAATCCTGTCTTGAAAAACCAAAAAAAAAAAAAAAAAAAAGAAAGAAATGCAAACTGATTTATTGTAGCACTATTGCCACAGTGTTCATTTTCCAAAGCCATGAATTCGCATATACCTCAATTCCAATAATTATGAACGGGCCAGGAATTGAGGGAAAAAGGGGAAGAGACCAAAAGGAACAGCTTGCCTGTGTCAGGGACCTAGGGTAGAGAACCCCACAATGACTGTGTTGCATGGGGCTAAGGTCTCACTTAGCAGCAGGAGGGTGATGGAGATGAGTGAGGAGCCGGGCTCTGGCCTGGGAGAGCATCCTGAGGGTGCTTGTTTTATTTCAGTTTGCAACTGTACCTACTGACTTCAACAGTTTTCCTGAGAACAATCCCATCCAGATCACCGTGCAGCGCAAACAACCTCAGAGGAGAACCGTGTCCATGGCGATGGAAGAGATGCGGAGGCTGGAGGATCTGGAATACCTATATCCATATTAGGAGGTGTGGGTCGAGGTTATCCCTTGCCCACTGTCAGCCTTGGCCCTGGGTCCTCAGGAACCAGAACTATGAGATGTACTGTACCACCATGCACCAAGCCAAAGAACTGTTAGTTACCCTGTTAGCCAAGGGCCTGAGGAGATGCACTGGAATCTCACCCTTGGGTCTGGGTCAAGGATAGACATGAGCCCCATTCACCTAGAGACACCTTAGGCTGAGTCAGGCTCAGCCACTGTCCCAACAGCTGGTAGGTGCCCTCCTTCCTCCCTGACCTGGGCTGGTTCCGGGTCCCTCATTAAAGAACTGAAGGCCCATCCAATACCCTGAAAGCCTACTTCCTGTTGTCATAACCTGAGCTGAGCCAGAGGACTAGCCTCTTGTCAGAACCAACAGTCTAGTATGAGAATAAGGACAGGCTGACACTCACTAAGAGCCCAGCTTTGGGGGAATATGACCACTAAATCCTAGCTCTTCCCCTGTTGTGAGGTACAAACAGGTCGTTGTCTCCAGAGGCCATTCAGGCACAGGCTCAGGGTCACTGTGACACAAAAGTGCCTGACACCAAGCAGATGGTGGTTCCCTGTACCTCTTCTGCAGTCCTTTTTTTTTTTTTTCTTTAAGATTTATTATGTATACAGTATTCTGCCTACACGCCAGAAAAGAACACCAGATCTCATTTCAGATGGCCGTGGGTCACCATGTGGTTGCTGGGAACTGAATTCAGGACCTCTAGAAGAGCAGCCAGTGTTCTTAACCGCTAAACCATCTCTCCAGCCCCCTGCAGTCCTACTCTTATGTGTGAGGGGAGGCTGACCACCACAGCTGGGTGATGTGTAAAACAGAAAAAGCCCCAAATAGAGGTAGGAAGCATTCGGATCCAGTAGTGGGCAGACCCAGAAATGCCTCCCACAGACGACTAGAGACCATGAACAGCCAGTGCTGAGCCAACACTAACTATTTACAGCAAGACAAAAATGAAGGCAGGTTCTTGCAGGGCAAGCGTCTCAGTCAAGGTCTGAAATCCTGGAATATCCTTCATTCCTTCCAAGTCCTCAGAAAGCCTAGATCCTCATCACACTGTGCCCATATCAGCTAGTGTCCCACACCACTGCCCCCTTCTAGGTGAGTCCTCTGGGACGGCCTTGGCCTTCCTCTCTAGCCTGAGGGCCTAGCACAGTGCTGGGATGTGACAGGGCCTCAGGCAGAATGCCAGGAGAGGCAGAGGCAAGACTCTGTTTTCTAATGCCAGAGTCCTTGTGAGCAGGCTAAGAACAGTCTCTGGATGTGGTGCAAACAGGAACATGGCCAGCGTGACCAGACAGCACAGCCTTAGCCTTTCCCATGGCCACCAGTGAAGCGGCAGGAAGGGTAGCTAGGGTGCGTGGACTGCCGTCATTCAGTGCAAGGGAAGGGCCAGATGCACATTTCAGAGTCCTCAACTGATCATGGGGGTTCTAGAACAAGAAGCTGCAACACAGATGCAAAATATGCTATTTATTTGGCCACACGGCTGAGGGTGTGGGCCTGCACAGCTGACACTTGGAAAAAGGACATGGGGACCAGAGGCCTGGCTTTCCCACTGCTGTCAGTACCGGCCAGAAGTGGCCAGGGCTTAGCTCCATGTTGTAACTTCCTATGACTGTCACATGTAGACCGCCTGTCCTGGGCAGATGGCCACCTGCATTCTTAGATCTCTGGCAGGGCAGGCAGAGGCTGAGTCCAGGTAAGGTAGGAAGCTGTAGAATTCTTCACCTTCTCCATCTGTGGGGGAGTCATGGGAGGGATCCATGTTAAGCCTTGTCAAGAGCCTGGCACCTGCTCTAGCTCTGTAACTCAGCTGTGCACACCCCACAACCTGCCCCTCCCCTCAGGCACCTCTCTCCTTCCCTCAGTCCTGCCCCGTGATCCTGCAGTGCCCACCACCAAACATCAAGTTGCTGTCACAAGCAGAGTGCTTTAGGTGTCAGTGTTCTCCTCTGTGACCCTCCTGTCTAGACCAGGATCTGAACGCAGGGTCCACGAGTACAGAGCCTGATATCCTAACAGTGAACTACTGCTGTACTGTGGAGACCTGCAGATTCCCCCAGGGTCTCCCATAACCCCTAGTTCTACCTCCCATGGAGACTCTGGCTTCCACACTCTCCCTCCAGAGCACCCCCCCAATTCCATGCCATGGCAAAGAGCAGAGGCCAGGAGAACTGAGCATCCCAGTCTTTACCACGCCCCCACTCACATCCGGAGACATTTGTCTTTCCCACCACTTGCTACTCTCTGGCCATCTGGACTCCAGTCGACAGCATATACCTAAATGGAGGAAGAGGTCGGACAGTGGAGTAGTAAGGGCAAGAGTCAAGGCGAGGGCTAATCCCATCCCCCACGGGCAAGCATACCTCATCAGCATGGCCAGGCAGGTCTGTGGCCAGTTTCTGGGCCTTCACATCCCACACCTTCAGTGTGCTGTCGCTGCTGCCACTGACCAGCAGCCGGCTGTCAGCCGACCAGGCAATCTGGTACACAGCAGCCACGTGGCCACGAAGGGAAGCCAAGTACCTGAGCCAGGGGAAGCCAGCAACAGATATTAGATCTTCTACATGTCCTCTATACTCACAACAGTGGTTCTCCACTTTGGCTACCTGCTAGCATTGCCTGGGCCCATGCTAGACCATTTTAATCATCACTGGCCATTACTACTGTGTAAAACTTCTCCAGTTAAGTTGCTCTAAGGCTACCTCCTGCTAAGCCTCCAGACTCGTACAACTCTGCACGTCTGAAAACCCAATGTGCCACCTGCTTAGCCCATCTGCCCGGTGTCCCCTGATACAACAGGTGCCAGCTGACAGGTGGCACAGAGAAACAGTAGGCCAGGCCCAGCTGCAGCTTTCAACTTAATAGCATCTAGCTGTGATGTCTGGATAAGCCATTAGGCCTGGGATGCAGTTTACTGGCTTTTTTCCTTTTGATTTTTCAGAGACAGTTTCTCTGGGTAGCTCTGGCTGTCCTGGAACTCACTCTGGTCCCAGGCTATCCTTGAACTCACAGAGATCCACCTGCCTAGGCCACTTGAGTGCTGGGATTAAAGGCAGATTACTTCTTGGCTTCCTAAAGGAACTGAATTATCATTTCAAAGAACTATGTGAAAATACATAATGACAAACATTCCTTCTCTGCTGCTCCCATACACACGCCTCTTTTCCAACCCAATAATGGCTGGTGCACCACACCCTCTCACACCACCAGGACCTCTCAGACTTTAGCTGACAGGACAAATCACCAGGTGATCTTACAAAATGCAGACCCTGATTCATAAGATCTGGAGTCCACATTTGCATTTTTAAAGATTTATCTATTTTACGTATACAAGTGCTCTATCTGTATGTGTCAGAAGAGGGCATCAGATCCCACTATAGATGGCTGTGAGCTGCTGGGAATTGAACTCAGGACCTTTGGAAGAGCAGCCAGTGATCTTAACCACTGAGCCATCTCTCCAGCCCCCTCCAGCATTTTTAACCTTTAAAAGAGATGCATTTTTATTTCTAAATAAATACATGACTGTGGGTGCCTGTGGAGGTCGGAGGCATAGGATCCTCCCTGAAGCTGGATACATGTGGCTGTAAGCTACCTGATGTGGGTGCTGGGGATTGAACCTGGGTCCTCTGCAAGAGCAGTACATGCTCTCAGCTGCTGAGTCATCTCTCTAGACCCCTACACTTTGCATTTCTGTTAAGAAATGCTGGTGCCACCAGTATGTGGGCAACACAAGAGGAACAACACAGTTCACCTTCTCCAGGGCTGCTGCTGCATCCCTGGTCCTGTGGCTAGCCCTAACATTTAGTGCTGGCCCTAAAGATGTCACCCTACTAATCCAGGTCCAGTGTATGTGGAAGAGAAGCATGGGCTGAGGACTCCACCAGCACCACACAAGTACTAAGTGGGTACACCAAGCTCATGGCATGCCACACTGCTACCAAGGACAGCCCCCATCCCTGCACTCACTTGCCCGTCCTACCATCCCACAGCTTGATGGATTTGTCGAAGGAGGCACTGGCCACGATGCGGGAGTCAGGAGAGAAGAGCACCTGGTTGATGAGGGCCTGGTGTCCTGTCATCCGCGCGAGGGGCTTCTTGTCCTCTGCTGGGGACCACAGGAATAAGGTGAAGTCGTCTGAGCCAGATACCAGCCTCTCTGGGCCTTGGCCCTGGGCAAGAAAGCACACCATGTTGGATGTGGTCTGATACGATACTGGCTATTTACATAGCAACAGAGGCCAGAAGCAGGGAAATGAGGCCTGGAAGGGACACAAGCTCACAGGAAATTCCAGGTTAGCCCATAAGGAGCAGGAATTCCATACAGGCGTGGAAGGAGTCCTAAGATACAAACCAACATACAGAATGGTGCTAAAAGTGAATGGCTTTTGTACCCCCCCCTGTATACTGAGTGCATGAACTGCCATACTGGTAACGCTGGATGCTTCCAGAAGGGATGCATGACTTTGTGACAGGAGATGTTTCATTATCTTTGTATCTATTGAACCCTAGACCATGTAAATGTGTTCCTTAAACAACAAAGGAAATAAGAGACAATAGTAGTGGGCCAGGCGGTGGTGGCGCACGCCTTTAATCCCAGCACTCGGGAGGCAGAGGCAGGCGGATCTCTGTGAGTTCGAGGTTCGAGGCCGGGCTGGACCGATAGCCTCCGAAACAATACAGAGAAACCCTGTCTCGTAAAAACCAAAAAAAAAAAAAAAAAAAAGAGACAATAGTAGTAAATAAGATAATAAAGGTTAAACGATGCCCAGCCTTTTAAGACTTAAAGATTATAAAGAATGATGACTAAGAACAACTTTTTGGGATACAAACATTGAGCTAGGGTGCTAGAAGGAACAGGCCCAAGTGACTGGAGTTTCTGAGACCAGATGAGAAAGAGTCCTAGGTCAGGCAGTAGTACAGCACGCCTTCAATTCCACCACTTGGGAGGCAGAGGCAGGCGAATCTCTGAGTTTAAGGCCAACCTAGTCTACAAAGCGAATTCCAGGACAGCCAGGGCTACAGAGAAACCCTGTCTGGAATCCCCTCATCCCCTCTCCACCCCCCAAATGTCCTGGGCTGGGTTTGCATGCTGGTGGCACATACTCACCCGCACAAGGTTGTAGCGTCTTGATGCTCTCTCCTTCAGCTCCTTCACTGTGCAGGTATGGGGGGGAGGAGGGGAGAGGGAAGGCGGGGGAGGGGGATGACAAGACTGGTTAGACACTCGCCCATTAGGCCGAAGAATTGGCTCCTTCCCAGGCAGCCTGCTCCCCTGCCCCCTCACTCACAGGACCCCTTCAGGTCTTGGGCATTCACTGTGGCTTCAGCAGGCTCAAAGGCCCCTGTGCGCAGGGCATAGTCTGTGCTAAGTGCCATGGTGTTCACCCAGTGGCCATGACCTTGAAGAGTCCGGCACAGCACTCCCTAGGGCAGAAGGAGGCAGGTCAGACATGCACATACACACCATAGGATGAGGGGGAGAGATCATACCCCCACCGTGGGATGGGTAACGCGGGACAAGAGTCAGGAACCCAAGAATTCATCACTCATGCACGGTCGCCTTAGTCAAACCTGGAGGCTCAAGAGCCTCTTCATTGAACTCTACAACAACCCAGAATCCCCACAACACTGAAGTATTAACCACTGAGCTGCTGTTCCAGAAGCACTGGCTGGACTCCTAACATAATTCTGGAAACACCAGACTCACTGATACCAGGTTTGTGACCGGCACCCATGACCCAGGAGACCGGCTTCTGAATCCCAGCAGTCCTTACATCATGGGCCCTCCAGACTTTGATGGTGCGGTCCTGGGAAGCAGAGTATAGGAGCCCGTCCCCTCCCCAGCAGAGGCAGGTAACTGATTGCGTGTGCCCGGTGAGGATGCGCTCACAGCGACCTGCGGTTGTGTCCCAGACTCGTACGCTGCCGTCTTTGGAGCTGCTGGCCACATAACGGCACTCAGGGTTCCTGGTGAAGGGGGAAATGCAACCTCAGGTTTAACCGGGCAGACTCAGAGGCCGAGGACAATTTCGTGATAGCTTTCTGACGGCATAGCAGAGCTGTGCTCAGGTCCAAGGTGAGCAGCCACCTCCCAGCAGCAGGGGTGTGGCCATGGAAGGCCAAGCAAGTTGTGACTGACACCTGGATGCTTCTCTCACTCTCTCCAGAAAATGTCTTTGTAGTGAGCAGGGGAAGGGGGCAGCTTATGTTCCAGTTCATGCCTCAGCCGTCACTTACATGTGAAGGGGCTCCCAGCTCAGGCCTGTGATCCACTTGCTGTGGCCAGTCAGGGTTCTGCCCACCTGCATCCCTGTGCTTGGGTCCCACAGGAGAATCTGAAGGACAGAAGCTCATAAAACGCTTTCTACAACCCGGCTACCCCCCAACACACTCTTCACGATCCCGGAGGTCATTCTCTGCCCATTCATCCAGATGTCTCCTACCTGGCCATTCTTGCAGCCAGAGGCCAGTTTCTTGCCATCTGGGGACCAGGATATGCTAAGGACCCAGTGCCGGTGTCCTATAAATAAAGCAGGGGAGGGAGACAGTCTATTCATCTTTATCTCTTGCCAGTGCCTAGCAGCGTACGGCACACTGAAAACCCTCCTTAACCAACTGTCAAATAAATGAACTGAACTGAAGGAGAGGCAAGGGAGAAAACACAGCCCAAGCGCTACAGCTGTGCAGCTTATTGTGGGCAGCACGGCCACTTTCTAAAGTCCGTACCTGACATATGGGACAGGTGTTTCTTTACACACTGTCCCTTCTTACATCAGCTCTAGGATGAAAAGAGCCACCCTCATTCTCCAGATGAAAAAAACTAAAGAATAGATAGTGACTATACCCTGCAGTGAACTCCTCTATGTGGTCCCCAGACCAGCAGCAGAACCCAGAACCTCTTAGAAATGTACTCAGACCCCACCCTTGAGCTGCTGGGGAATGTGGGGTGTGGATGGTGCGGGGAGTGGTTAGGGACCCAGCTAGCATCTTGTAGTTCAACAAGCCCTCCAGGTGATTCTGATCTATGCTAAAGTCTGAAAACGCTTGTGGCAGAGGAGGCTGACTCTAAGTCAGGCTGTCCCCGCTCCCCATCCTGCCCCAACCACCACACTGGTCCAGTTGCTGCTCGTTTCTAAGGAACAGGATGCCAATGGTTTGGATTCTTCCGAGTCCTACCAGAAGCTACGGCTAACCACTTGGCACTCGTTAAAATCCCTTAAATGGCTAAATGTAAACTGACCTTTGCATGTGAAATGCGGTGTCTCGGTGCTGAGATCCCAGAAGCGCACGGTGGTGTCTCCGGAGCCACTGGCCAGGTACCTGGGGAAGAGAGGCCGCTTGACTGCTGCAGAGGTGGGGCCCACCCTGAGACACTGCACATGTGCACGCCTGCTGCCTAGCCAACCATCTTCTGGGGGACAGACTCTCCTCTCCTGAGAAGGAGAAAGGGACACTGATGCCACCTAGAAAAGACCCCAGGAGGCTACTCCTCACTTCTTTCCTGACAGGAACGGCTACAGTCATAAGCAGGGTTTTTCATACATATTTTTTCTTTTTTGAGACAGGATTTCCCTGTGTAGCCCTGGCTGTCCTGGAGCTCACTCTGTAGACCACCTGCCTCCGCCTCCTGGTGCTGGGATCAAAGGTGTGCACCACCACCCCAAGTGCTGGGATTGAAGGCATGGGCCTCCACACCCAGCTCAACTGTTCATATTCTTGGAGTACTGTGAGAAGAAATGATTCATTTCTATAGGGAAGTTACAGATGCAGAAATATGACTTGTTTAAGTAACACAGCTTGGAAAGAAAGGGGCAACTCAAATCTCCAGAGATCCAAAACAGACTCTTTCCAGGCAGGAATCCTTAGCTTTTGTGGACTAAACCCTAATAAGAAAATCTATTACTTGCAATTTGAGTCTAGACCTCAAGTCTATGACAGGCAGCCTAAGAAAGACCCCATGTAGTGTAACTCCGGAGGGTTCTCTCCACCCCAGTCAGAGGCTGCACCATCCCAGTGATTCTGCCCATGTACTTACTTTCCCGTAGGGCTGAAGGCCACAGAAATGACTGCTTCACTGTGACCTTCCAACGAGCTGGTGCACCGTGTCACAGCACGGACTCTGAAGACAGCCTGAGGCTGGTAGATGATGTCTACGATTTTCTCTGTCTCCACAGACTGCGACTCCAGCGTCTTCCCCAGGGAGGACACTATCTCAGCATCGTGGACATAGAAAGCAAGGGGCAAGGGCTCCTCCTGAGGGCAAGAAAAAAGGAGTAAAGGGCAACTCTGCCCCAGGAGGGTGAGCCTCTGCCCTGGGGAAAGCCAGCTTCCCTCGGAGCTGTGGGGAGGACGAGGCTGTCTTCTTCCAGCCGCCGTGCTTGGGATACCTCATTACTCCCCACATGCACGAGCTTTTTAAGTTGCTAACGAGCAATCCTAGGCCACTCACAGAATTTTGGAGCTCTTTATCTGCATCTCAGATCATAGGGAAGTAACCATTAATATCCCCATTTGGTGGATTTAACAAAATGCTTGGTGCAAATAAGCAATTGGTTCAAAACCCGAACCCTGAGACTAATTCAGGTTCTTGGTGTTTTTAAGGTCTAGGATGAGTATCGTGTACTGTTTTGTAAAACACCAACACTATGCTGCACCTGTAAAACGAATATTCAAAGGGATGGTTAAAAAACGCAGACCAAGGTTTGGTAGAGTAAGAGGGTGGGGGTGGGGGTCCACCAGCTGCACCTATAAGCTTGTCACTCCTCCCCAACAGAGGGCAACATCAGTAACACGGGCAGAAAGGTTAAGAGCACAGGTTTTGAATCTGGTCAGACCGATCTGGGCTCCAATGCTCAATTCAACAACTACTGCATATCACCAGGCGAATAATTTAATCTGGCTGGGCATCTTTGTATAATGGGGATACTTACGTTGGGCTGTGACAAGGAGTCATGAAATACTAAATCAGAAGAATTCAAAATATAGCCTGTCTGCATGCGTGTCGGCGTGGAGAACCTTTTTCCAGGGACCAACCCATGCCACCAACTGTCGGTGAGCAGTGTGTGTGGGGGGGAGGGGTCCCGGAAACACCACGGCTTCCACTCGGAGTGCTCACCTGGGCCAGCAGCGCGTTGCACACGAGCTGCAGCTTGTCCGGCGTGATGTCCACAGGCACGTCAAACGGGGAGCCCAGCAGCTGGCCACCCTCATCCTGGAACTGCACGAGCAGCCGCTGCACGTCGCCCGCCGCTGCCTCGTCCTGCACAAACAAGGCGGGAGGCGATCAGTCCCCCCTCCACCCTGAGGACCCCAAGCGGAGACCCAGCGTCCCCGCCCTGTGCGCGCGTACACCCACCGCCACAGCGTCCGCCATCCTGCGTCCCCACGTGGAGGAGGAGCGAGGAGGAGGGATGGAGCGCCGCGTTCGTGTCGCGGAGCAGCCGCCGGCCACAGTGCCCTCTAGTGTTCGGATGAGATAGTCAGGCTGGAGTGCAAGCGGAGTCATCAGGAGACTTCCCTCCACGCTTTCTTCTCCATCCCTCCCAGGCTGCGGTCTTTCACACTCTTCATTACAGCGACTCTTGCCGACTTTAGCAGACCACGGAAGCTGAAACGCAAAGAAGTTAATTGATTTGCCCGCCTAGCTCACAGAGCGCTGGGGTCCAGGCAGCAGCTCCTTTTCTCTTGTGGTGGAAATCCAAACCAGGAAAACTATTGGGTTGAGGCAGAAACCTAGTTTATTGCTTGGTTTGTGTTTTTTATTTCACTTATTTATTTATTTATTTGTTTGTTTGTTTGTTTGTTTACTTGTTTGCTTGCTTGCTTTTAAGATAGGCTTTGGGTGTGTAGCCTAAATTGGCCTTGAGCTCCGTGATCCTGTGCCTGTGCCTCCCTGGATGCTGGGATTACAGGATGGGCCAACGTTCCCAGCTGTCTTGGCATTTTTTTCTGAACGCTTTCAAGGTGTGGCCCCCTCCTGTATCTGTCCTTTTACATCCCCAGTTTATTCTGTCTGGAGCTGTCATGGACAGAATTGAGTTTCCACTCCCCTCATGCATAAGTCACAAGAAGACAGAGCTTCTAAGAAAGTAAAAAAAGTTGAAGGAGGCCAGAAAGGTTAAGTCCCTAGCAGATGGAGTCACTGGAGGAAAAGCCTCCAAAGTGTACTCTGGGTCCCTCCATTCTCCTTCTCTTTACCTCCGCCTTTACTGGACACACACAGAGGAGAAGTCATGTAAACCCAGAAGATAGATAGCTGTCTGTAAGCAGGGGAGAGGAGCCTCACCAGAAGATAGCTGTCTGTAAGCAGGGGAGAGGAGCCTCACCAGAATCCCATCTTGCTAGCACCTTGACCTTGTACTCTCAACTCCAGAACAGTGAGAAAGTCCATCTCCACCGGCATATTCTTTTGTGACAGCCTCCACAGACCCAGGTGGGAACCAATGCACAGTGTTCATGTCTTGCCTTAAATATGCTCATTCATGCATACATTCATTCATCTGACAAAATGAATTGAGCGTCTGTTCTCTGCCTAATATCGTTCTAGGAACTTTGCATGGGTTCACTCAAGGACATCTTTCCTAGGACATCGTCTTTCTTGCTTTGCGTTTTCCAAGCATTCTGGCACTTGTAGAGAGAAGCCTTTTTCTTGTCTGCCGCTTTGGTTTTTCCCTACCAGTCGCCTGGGCTCTGCCACGTTGTAGTCCCCAAATAACACGCAAGATGCTGGATTAGCCGGGCGTTGGTGGCGCACGCCTTTAATCCCAGCACTTGGGAGGCAGAGGCAGGTGGATCTCTGTGAGTTCTAGGCCAGCCTGGTCTACAGAGTGAGTTCTAGGACAGTCTCCAAAACAATACAGAGAAACCCTGTCTTGAAAAACCAAAAAAAAAAAAAAAAGATGCTGGATTAATTATGAAGCTGTTGGCCATTTGCTTGATTTCTTACTGGCTATCTCTGACTTAAGTATTTACCCCATAATTGTTATTCTAAGTATTTCTCTTACCGGAGAAAAGGTCTGGACTTCTTACCCCTATGTGGCTACATGGTGACTCCCTGTGTTTCTCCTTCCCAGAGTACTCCTAGACTCCTAGTCCCTTGGTCCAAAAGCTACAGAGCCAAAGCTTTGCTAGTTTTTGGACCAAGGGATTCTTCATTTAGTTCCTGATTAAGTCATTCCACAAGCATTTCTTCTGTGTCTCCTAAACACCAGGGGACATGACCGATAATAAGGAGTACCTGATCGGGAAGTCCTGTGTATATGTCAATAAAGCACTGTTGGCCAATAGGGAAGCAAGATAGGTGGGACTAGGAGTCACAGCCCTACTTGCAGAAGCTGTTGTGCATGTCCCCATTTGTGGCTTTTCTTCAGTATCTCTCAGGTGTGGGTTTTTTTTGGGGGGGGGAGTTCAAGACAAGGTTTTTCTGTGTAGCACTGGCTGTCCTGGAACTCTCTCTGTAGACCAGGCTGGCCTTGAGCTCAGAGATGCACCTACTTCTGCCTCTTGAGTATGATTTCTGGCATTAAAGGCATGTGCCACCACCGCCTGGCTTCAGGTGTGTTTTGAAAAATATGGGAGGTGAGGGGAGAGGAGATGTAAGTGGAGCAAAGCATAAGAATGAAGATAGCATCTATCCATCCATTTAGAAAACACACCCAGGCTTGGTGGTGGTGGCACACGACTTTAATCTCAGCACTGGAGAGGCAGAGACAGGGGATCTCTGTGGGTTCGAGGCCATCCTGGTCTACAAATTGAGATCCAGGACAGGCTCCAAGGCAACAGAGAAATCTGCCTCAAAAAATAAAAAGAAAATAAAAGGAGACAGAAAAGGAGAAGAAGGAGGAGGAGGAGGAAAGAAGGAAAGAGAGAGGAGGGAGGGAGGGAGGAAAGAAGAAAGGAAGGAAGGAAGGAAGGAAGGAAGGAAGGAAGGAAGGAAGGAAGAAAACATACCCAGGGCACTGTTTGCCAGGCTTTGTACCTGGAATGCTGATAGAAATTCCTGGGCAACATCCTTGACCTCCAGGAGCAGACACTGAAGGACAGGAGAGTTCTGTCTCTCTGGTGAAGATATCCTTTTAAAGTTGGCTTTGGAGAAGCAAACAATGCCGGCTCCCAGAGAGAGCCCTCTGCCATGATGTTGCTACTTTTGAAGAGGGAGCCTCCTCTTGTCCTGGGAGGGACCTGGATAGGAAGGTGACAGGGAATTCCAGGTTTGACCTAGTCCTTGCCCCAGGAGAATGGCATCTGATGCAGAGGAAGAGAGCCTGCATCCATTGGAGTCACAGCCAGGTGGGAGGCTGAGGCTATTCATCAACGCAGACAGGGAGGGACAGAGACAATGGCACTCAAACAGCAGCCCACTCACACGCCAAGTCAGCAAGTCCTGCTGGGCTTTGCAAAAGCAGGCTCTTCCTAGCAAACGCAGGGCACTGTGAACAAGTATGAAGAGAAGGGATCTTCCTCCACTCTGCACTCCTCCTCCCTCCACAGAGGCTTTTCTGGAAGTCTCTAGAGGGACCTGGGCAGCTGCTGTGTGTCCAAGTCTATCAGTCCTTCAGCTGTCACTCTGCTCCCAAAATAGCAGTAGTATGTGTGCCTGGAGGGGGGGCAGGGGTGGTGGTGGGGGGTGAGGGTGGAGAGATGGGGTTGGTTGTTTATCTGGGATGGAGGTGGGGAAGGGGCTTTACAAGTTTGCCTAGGCAGGGCAGGTCTCTCAATTCCTGTCTCTTCTGGATCTTTCTCCCACACTTTGAGGTGTGAATCCAAAGTCTGCCCCTGAATGGGGTGCTTAAGGGTCAGAGGGTAGTCAACCCTTTATGTTCAGTCCAGGCAGGGGGAGGGCCCTGTATCAATGACAGCCTCCAGGAGCACCTGCCCCTGTGGCCAAATATAGTCTGGAGTTGCTGGCTGGGGTGATAAAGTCTGCAGGGTGGGGGCTGGGAGCAGCAAAAGGAAGCTGGCTGAGGTGGACAGCGGAGCTCAGGAGCAGTACCTAGGAGGAGGCATCCCTGGGAGACGACTGGGCAAGGAGAAGGCTGCAGGGAAGGTGGGTGACACCTACCTGGTTGAAAGAGACAGACAGACTCTGACAGCCCTCTCAATGGGGGTCAAGCTCCAAGCAAATACCAATGTCCTTTGGGGGGTGGTCAGTGGATTTTGGGGTGCTGGAGTGGATCCCTTCCAGGCAGAATCTCCACCCTACACTGTGGAGAGGGAAGCCTGGGGCTCTGGTTCTCAGGCCAAGAGCCCTGCCCGGGGTACCCAGCAAGAGGCTGACCACCCAGGGCTGCCGGTATTCCCACAGATGGCAGAGGCAGAAGCAGCGCAACTGAAGGAGGAAGGGAACCAGCATTTTCAGCGTCAAGACTACAAGGCAGCCACCAAGAGCTACAGCCAGGCCCTGAAGCTGACCAAGGACAAGGCCCTACTGGCCACACTCTACCGGAATCGGGCAGCCTGTGGCTTGAAAATGGTCTGGGCACAGGGCAGCATGGGTGGGCTGAGGGCAGTTAAGGCTGGAGACAAGGTCGTCATGGCCTGATAGAAATGAGTCATCATCCTCACTGTGCCATCTTGACCCCCTAAGTTGGAAACTGTGCTTCTAACTTCCCAGGCCACTGTCGGGCCACTCCTTTTTAGAGCAGCCCTGTGACAGCCCTTCTTACCCTTCCCATATTGCAGTCAAGAAACCAAGGTTCAGAAAGCATGGAGAATTGGCCAAACTCTCCCAGGTGTAGAGGAGCTGGCATTTAAACCTGGGGTTGCCTGATGCCAAAGCCTGTGCTTTTCTGTACCAGGCACCGAGGGCATCCTGAGCCTCTGATAACCTGTAGCTCCCCAGATAACTTCTCCCCTCACTTAGGAGACGTGTCTCTACCCTGGGCCCCCACTAATGAAGTCTCTCATTCCGGTTTCTCAGGAGAGCTATGCCCAGGCAGCTTCAGATGCTTCCAGAGGTGAGTGCCACACTTTCCTCTCACCCAGCATGCCTGCACAGGAGTGTGGGCCTGGCTGCCATTGTTTGGAGGTGCTATAACAGTCTGTGGGTTCTGATGGTCAAGAACCAGCTGGAGAAGGGAATGAAACATCTGGTAATATTAGCCCAGGGAAGACAGCTACCAGGTGGGAGAGAGGGTTTCGTTTCACCTCGGGGGCTCCAGGGCCAGACTTAGGATAAGAGGACAAAAGGACAGGGAGGAGTTTGGGTAGGAATAGGGAGTTTTTTTTTTTTGGCGGAGTTGCCTGGCTACCTCAGAAAGGATGGGGAAGGGGCGGGTACCCTACTTCAGGAGATATACAAGCACCAGTCAGATGGGCCCCTGATAGGAATCCTGTGGCAGAGGACGCCTTGGGAATCAGATAGAAGTTGGGGTGTGTGCTGGGAGTGGTGCAGGGGGAGAGGATTTGGACGCTTTCTGCCAACCTTGAGACTATGGATCCTTCTCCCTATCAAAAGATGGTATGAGCCAGAAAGTTCAAATGGGTATCTCTAAGGAAGACATCCCTCCTGGGCCGTGGAATAGGGACATCAGTCTGTAGCCCCGCCCCTTGAGGATCTGCCTGTCTCCCATCTGTAGCCATTGATATCAACTCTGCTGACATCAAAGCCTTGTATCGGCGATGCCAGGCACTCGAACATCTGGGCAAATTGGACCAGGCCTTCAAGGATGTGCAACGCTGTGCTACCCTCGAGCCAAGGAACCAGAACTTCCAGGAGACGCTGCGGAGGCTCAACACCAGTATCCAGGAGCAGGTAAACTGGGCCCTTCCAGAGAACTTCGGCTGCTTCCATCCTATTCATAGGGGGAGATGGGCTAGGGAGGTTGAGATGTGATGACAGAGTTAGCCAAGCCCCTTCAACGGCAAGCTGGAGACAGCATGGAGCATGGGCAGTGTCCATGGAATATCGGGGCAAGCACACCTACCCGTGAGAGATGAGAGAGCTGTGGTGTTGGGTGAGGGCACAATCTACCCACGGCTACAGTTCCTTTAAATTTCAGATGGAAACCTTAAACGGGAATTATGGTCACCTAGTGAGTCTACGCCGTGACTCTATGTGGACAAAGAGGTTCTGGAATCCTTGGGAATCAGGGAGACTAATGAAGGATAGAGGGTCAGAGTCCATGGAAACATGAGATCTTTGCTGGGAATGTGGACAAGGCATGGAGAGCTTGAGGCAGAGAAGAGGAGCCCTGTATCCTCCCCTGGCTCAGTTACTGACTTCTTTCTGATTGACCCCTAGGACCTCTCGGCTTCCTCCTGGAAGAGCAGGAGGGCAATAATTCATTCAACCGTCTTCTCCAGACACTCAGTAACTCCTGTGTGTCTGGAGCGGCTGTGACTGGACCACCGCACACTGTCCAGAGTGCAGACTCAGTGCTGTGAAATGTTACAGAGGGGGAGATGACACAAGGGGTGGGTAGGGGAGGAGCCTTCCCAGGCCAGAAGGAGGGAGGAGCAGCTCTCAGCTCTAGGAGGCACAGATGGAGCTGGCTGGATGATCATTTAGGCCACATTATGAAAGATCCAGAGTAGCATAGGGTGGGACGTGAGAGGGTCTAGACCCCAAGACAGAACGGTTTTCACTTGCTTGGCGGGATGCTTGAAAGCCTGGAGACAAATTTCTACTTTAGTCTCCATTGACACGTCTGGTGGTTGATAGCCCATGAGATAGAGTCTAAAACTGGGCTGATGTCTTCCAAAGATGTTGTGGTGATTATACTTGATAATGATGGTAACTAATTGGACTGAGAGCTTTGTGGGTCACAGAATTGATTTTGTTCACCTTTCTTTCTTTCCTTCCCTCCTCCCCTTCCTCTCCTCCTCCTCTTCTTCCTCTTCTTCCTCCTCCTCATCCTCCTCTCCTTCTCCTTCTTTTGACACAGGGTCTCTCTATGTGGCTCTGGCTGTCCTGGAACTCACTATGTAGAGAGGCTGGCCTCAATCTCACAGGGGGATCATCTGCCTCTGCCTCCCAAGTGCTGCAATTGAAGGAGTGGGCTACCATTCCAGCTGCTTGTCCACTGTCCTGTCCCTGACATCTAGAACCGTGCCTGGCATAAAGTGGTTGTTCAGTAAACCCTGAAACTAGTATTAGCATCCTTATTATTATTGTTATTATTATGAGGGGTTGTGGATGTCAGAGAAGATAGAGGTTGGCTCTCTCACCCCACCCTTTTTTTTTATTTATTTATATGTTTTGGTTTTTCAAGACAGGGTTTCTCTGTGTAACATTGGAGCCTGTCCTGGCACTTGCTCTGTAGACCAGATTGGCCTCAAACTCACAGAGATCCATTTGCCTCTGCCTCCCAAGTGCTGGGATTTAAGGCGTGTGCCACCACTGCCCGGGTCCCCCCACCTTTATGAGGGTCTTGAGGATCATCTCAGGTCTCGAGCTTGCTGTGCAAATGCCTTTCCCAGCTGAGACATTTCTCTGGTCCCGGTTACCATTTGCTCGGTGAATAAATGAATGGATGTGCTGGGGTCCAGAATATATCTAATATTTTCTGAGTTGAATACATGAAGAGTAGACAGAAATTATGTGGGCCAGCTGCCTGCCTCCCTCAGGGCTTCTTCCTCTCTTCTCAGCTCCGTGTGCAGTTTTCCACAGACTCCAGGGTACAGACGATGTTTGAAATCCTTCTCAACGAAAACAGCGAGGCTGATAAGCGGGAGAAGGTGAGTAATGCCTCATTCATGTCAGCAGAGGGCGCGCTCTATCCGCGGCTCCCGATAAAGGCTTCCTGGGCCTGGGAAGTTAAGTGGTGTCCATGAATATGGAGAAATTTGGCTTCGAATTAATTCCATTAGAAAATGGCACTAACTATAAGAAGGACCAAGATTGGGCTGAAGCCAGTGAGTCAAGTCAAACTGCAGGAGGACATCTTTGTTTAAAATCAGATATTTTGTTCAATGTGAAATTGTTGACCCTTGATTTTGATTAAAAACATTTTTGACCTTTGATTTTGATTAAAAACATTGCCTGTCTGGATATTGGACTTTTTGTTGCCTCCTTAAATTTTGCA